TGAGATCCTCGATACATCACCAAGGTCAAGGTCAAGCCGAGCTCCTAGCCTGGCATACTCTCCAACTACGATGGCTGGGCCGAACACACCAAGGATCGACACTGATGAGGAGGAGCCCAACGTTGAGCCACCTCATCCTGGCACTGTGCCCAACTCACCTGGACGTGATCCACGAGCTCTTCAACCTGATTCACTACAACCTCAACATCCTCAACAGCCTGGACATCAAGAACATCTTTCAGTACCACGGCAACCTGATTCACTACAACCTTCATCAACACCTTCACAACCACATCAACCTCCTGGACACGATCTACAACTTGATCCTTCGATGGCGAGGCTCTGTGAACCTGCTGGACCAGAAGATCGATTTCGACTTCAACGCCAACGACTTGATCAACAAGAAGCTGCGATCTTTGGGCCCATTCGACGTCATCGAGATCAACATCAACGACCCTACGATCGAGATCTACCTGGAGATGCTGATGGTCCAACTGAAGGCTATGTGCAGGCCTTCGACATCACTGGAACTCAAGGAGAACATCTACCTGACGGATGGCACTGCAACGATGAGGGCGTCTTCAACCTCACTGAAGACCCCATGGACTATTGGGAGGTGAAAGCTGGCTGTGTCATTCGACATCATCGACGTCCTCGACGAGCTCTCTTCAAACTCAAGGACTACATGGACACTCCGGTCGATCCAGAGCTGCTGGATGGACTTCGCACAACTGTGCTCTGGAAAGCTGATGGCAGTTTTGAGATCATCAGCGACAAGGAGTTTGACAACAAGGTCATCGACAAGGAGTGGACTGGCTGCACGATCTTTCAGATCACTGGCAAAGCTCGTCGGGAAATGGGGATGTTTGCAAACCTTCCTGCAAAGAAACTTGGACGCGAGGCCAAAACCAAAATGGCCCGCCAACAAAAGAAGGTCGACAAGGGTGGTGTCAATGAGCGACATCTTTGTGCTGCCGACCGTGCCAAGTTCCAAGAAGCCAAACGGAAGGAACTGGAATCCTTCTTTCACAACCAGGTCTGGGAGTTCGACACGGTGGACAATGCCCAAGCCGAGAGAACGCTCACGGCCAGAGTACTCACAAAATGGTCAAAGAATCCTGATGGGTCACCAAGGGCAAAGGCCAGGCTCATTGTGCGGGGTTACCAAGACTATGATGCTCTGTCAAAGGGCCTGGACACAAGTTCACCAACAACCTCAAGGACTTCCAGAAACTTTCTGCTGAGCCTGACGGCCATTTTGGGCTGGAATGCATGGACCTCAGACATAGCGACAGCCTTCCTGCAGGGTGGCTATCAATCGAGGAAGTTATGGGTAAAACTACCAGCTGATTGCCTTCAGCTACTTGGAGCTCCTCCTACTACAAGAATGCTGCTGCTGAAACCTGTGTATGGGCAGCTCGACGCTCCAAGGATGTGGTGGATTGAAGCTCAACGGAGACTCCGAGAACTTGGTCTCCGTCAACGCCCTCTTGACCCTTGCTTGTTTTTGGCTTTTGAGGTCGACTATGCCGAGGAGCCTTGCACTGATGGCACCGTTTTTGGTGAAGGCCGACTATGCGGCGCTATCTGCCTGCATGTGGATGACATGCTTGGAGCTGGGTCACCTACCTCAGCTACATATGCCAAATTGGTTGAAGGACTTCGGGCATCTTTCAACTTTCGAGAATGGAAAGATGGAGAACGCCTAGAGTACTGTGGCTCAGTTTTGGAGAAAGTTCCTGGTGGAGGTCTGAAACTTCATCAAGAAGCTTACCTTGGAAAAGTTCACCCTGTGACCATTCAGAAAGGCGCTGGTCCCAACACCGACCTCACCGCCAAGGAGATCACTCAACTGAGAGGACTCTGTGGAGCCCTACAATGGCCTGCGGTGCAGAGTGCACCCCACTTGCAGGCCTCGACTTCGATCACCTCTGGAATGGTCAACAATGGAAAGGTGAGCACCATCACCGAACTGAATCGCACCCTCAAGTTCGCCAAGGAGAATGCAGATGTGGGGCTTCAGTTTATGCCCCTGGGTGATATCAAAAACTTGCGTCTGGTGACGATGTTTGATGCATCGTTCAGCGCTCGACCTGACGGAAGCAGTCAAGGTGGATACATGGTTATGCTCGTGCCGGAGCACACCCTCACCAACACCGAGGACTGGTTCCACCTTTTGGAATGGAGATCCTTGAAGCTGCCACGAGTGGCGAGATCGTCTCTAGCTGCTGAAGCACAAGCCGCTGCATCAGCCGCAGATGCCACTGACTTCATCTGCAAGTTCTACAGCTACCTGGAGAACCCCAACCGCAAGCTTGGTGATTTGCTTGGTCAGGAGAGCAGTCTCCGACCGGTTTTGGTGACTGATGCCAAAGCCCTTTACGACAGTTACCACAGAGAATCGGTGACATCAAGTGTCACAGATCGGAGAATTGCCCTCGAGATCAGAGTCATCAAGGAGCTGGTCATGGAGCTTAAAGGTGAGCTCAGATGGGTTAGCAGTGAGCGCCAATGGGCTGATGGACTTACAAAGCTCTCAGCGCGCCAACTTCTAGCTGGACGACTTCGTCATGGAAGAGTTGGATTCTACTGGGATCCGAGCTATGTGGCTGCGAAGAAAAAGACTGCTGCCGAGAGACAGCAAAATATGGATGCTCATGCTGCACCTCCTCCGAAGAGACTGCGAAAGATCGACGAAGATGTGATGGAAGAAGAAGCTGAACCTGGTGAAACCTTTGAGACTGTGGATGAGAACATACCAAACGAGACCTATGAGACCTATGAGACTGAAGATGAGAACATGCCAAACGAGACCTATGAGAATGTGGATGAGAACCTGCCAACGGAGGCCTATGCCTACATGGTCTACACCAACGACATGCTTGACTATGTGGACGTTGCCTTCTCAAAGTCCAAGGACATGATGGAAAATTCGGAAGCGATCCTCAATGGGATGCGCACCTACACCACGGACATTTTGTCCCAAACCGGCATTTTGCCGAACCTTTTGAGCTTGCTGGCCTACATCGTTTCTTTGAAGATGTTTTTGGGCCTGCTGCTCCTGGCTGCCATGGCCTACTTGGTCCAGAAGTACGTGAACCACAAGATGGAGAAATCGTATCAAGCTGGTTTTCAAGCTGCTCGGGATGAAGCCTACCATGAGGTTCAACAGAGCCGAGGCTTAGCTATCGTGATGGGTGGCATGGAAGACACCTACGTGCGAGTCCGAGAGCAGTATCGAGAATTTGCCCGACGCCAGCGAGTTCTGGAAGATGCAGATGTGCAGCGTGATGCTGCAATTCCCGTCTGCAGGAGAGCCTTGCTTGAGGCGGTGGAGCACGCGGACATCTGCCCTATGGGCGACCTGATTTGGGAGATGGATGGCACCTGGCACTCTCAGCCTCAATGTGCCGACCTGCCGGCATACAGAGCCGGTGCACCCAGATATGGAACGCCTGGGAGTCCTGTGACAGTGCTTCGACCTTGCACTACGTGCTCATCAGGGACACCAACACCACATATCCCTGACAGGCATGGAACGACCCTGCTGCGAGAGCTGGAAACCTGGATCATAGATCAGGGCACAAACGCCTGGCCGTTGACTGGACCATATGCTGATGGAGCTTAGGAGTTTTTTAATTTTCAGGTGTGCCGAGCTAGCACTCTCTCCCCTGTGTGAGTTGCACGCCGTGCACCCTGGTTTCATGCTTACATGTTGTTTCATGTGCGGCCTTAACGGCCCGAATCACCCCATATAAATCCCACTAGGGTGGGTGCTTTGGATCCAGCCCGGCTACGCCATAGCCCTTTGGAAAAGGGGCAGCTTCTGACTTCGTGCTGGGCCTAGACTTTGGGAGCTGGGTCCTTGGATTGGTCTGTGCCTTGCCAATCTTACAGTATCATATATACATGAATAATTCATGACAAATACATGACAACAACTATATAGATTATTATAGATTAATGTATGAACAACCTGAGATACATGATGAACACACATAAACAATCATAAACACATGATTCACATCATATGACCCCATGAATCCCGGTCAAATTCATCAGGAGATGGATTCTGTGACGAAGGCCAAGGCGGTCCTCTCAGGCTCGGATCCCCTATTTCTATGGGGGATCTACCGTGGATGGGAAAACCATGGGAAATACACCACAGATTTGGATGATTTCTATGATTTCCATGGGTAAATGATAGTAACATCCATCATTTTTTGGGTAAATGGATCCAAAGATGGGGGATTTATCATGATTTGTCATGATCTATCCACAATTTCTACGAAAAAAAACATGGGAACCATGAGGTTTGAAAGCATGGGAACAGGGTGGCTTCCTTCTTGAACGCCCTACAGTGTTAAAGGCTACATCTCCATTTGTTTCGGATGGTTTAACCCCCAAAATTTGGTAAGTCATTGTGGGAGTGGTTTATGATGGTTTATGATTTTAGGCTTCCCACATGATTGAGAGCTTACATCCCCTTATCTCCTTATATTCCTAGCGGTTGTATCACCCCCCAGGTGCCAACTTTGCGGAGATTCAGCTCGACTGAGAGCAGAGATGGAGCGATGGCGATGCCACGTGATCAAAAAAGGGATGCCACGGGGGCTTTTGAGGCTGGCAGCTACTGGTAGTTACTGGCAGTTACTGGTAGTTGCTGGTAGTTACTGGCAGTTACTGGTAGTTGCTGGTAGTTACTACCATGGTCAAACCGAAGTGTGAATACTGTATTATTTGTATTCAGAACGATAATATTAGAGAATATTAGTAATCATAAGAGTAATAATAAAAGTAATGATAAGGATGATGAATTTTAGTTATTGTATTTTGATCTGAACTGATTGGGTTTGGGGCTTGTGTTCTATGTGTATTATCTAATATTATTTACATCCTATATGGAGATTGATGGAAAACAGCATCGACTTTTGGGACAGAGCTGCCATTTGCCATTGAATCTGCCGTTGCCACTGATGCGAATCGCAGTTGGGGTCCAGTTTTGACTCCACGGGGACCTGATTCATTGAAGCCATGCAGGTGGGCTGGGTACTTCCTCAATGGGCTAGTGGTCACTCGTGCATATGTCCTCACGGCCATATGCTGATGGACTTTTGCTTGTTTACAGTATTGCAAGTATACTATGTTAGATGTGGTAAATGCTCTCATCCCACTCAACGTCAATTACTTTGGGAACATTAGAACGACACTCACAACAACCTCACTGGTTTCAGGTTTCAGGTTTCTAACCTGACTACTCTAAGAGATGGGGAACCTAAAAAAAACTGTTTTGCCATGGAGATTTAGCTCATTTGAGGGTGGCTGGGGTTGTCGAGGATCATTGGTCCACCGGATTAAAAGACTTGGTTTGGCAACAAGAAACACCCCAGGTGTGCAGTTATGGGAACTTAAGAAAGCCATGCATAGTTTCCGGATGTTTCCGGGTTCCCATCAATGTAAAAACCATGGTATTCTGAGCTGGCTGCCAGGCACCCATGTTGGTACGGGAACTCAGATCGTTTCTTCAAGGCATGACTTGGCATGACCACCAACAGGAACCAATATATGGAAGAAGCCATGGGCCCTTAGTAACACGCCCCTCTTGATACTCTAATCTCTTGTATCTCTATATACATATGTGTAGATAGATACTGTAGGTCGGCAGCCTAGACAGATAATTGGATCGATGATGCCTTTGAGGGGGCGCTGCTTGTGACGCTGCTGGCGCCCAGCAGCTCATTGCTCACCTTTGATATGGAGGCGGAAACGTGGAAACCCAGGTTGCAATGGCAGAACTCAATATACTTCCCTGCAAATGTTCGCTTGAAGCAACCTAATGAGAAATTCCAGATTTTTCCATGATTTTTCTAATTAATGGGAAACTCGCAATCTCATGAGAAGCTAAACCGCCTCCCACTTGGCCCCCAGTTATCCTTCAGCCATGTTGGGGGTGATCCCCCTAGTCATGTACTGCGAGATCCCTATGTCATAGGGGATGCCCCTTAAAGTCCAAGCTGGAAATGGCAACCCACCATTTTAAAGATTTTTGAAGGGAACAGTCGGTAACAGCAACGAATTGGGGATGTTCCATTGCCTTGCTGTTGTCCAATTTTGCTGCTGGCGTTCCATTTTTGCGCCCTCCCCAGCCACCTCGACGTTTCATCACATCCATGTTTTGTTTTTTTGGTCTACATTTTTCAATGTCCTTCGCGGTTCTTGGTTCCACCAGTGACCAATGCTTAATAACCTTGGCTGATGGTGATACTGTACAGTATGGGTTTATATTGGTAGGATTTATTGGGACTCTCAAAACTGAGTATGGGGATCCCCATGAACTAACCAGTAGAATTTACTCGAGTCGAGTTGACAAGGAATTCTATTCGGGGATTGAACCATCTTGGCATTGCTGGCTCCTGGAGGTTTGTTAGTTGAAACACTTTCACACATCCCCTCTCACAGCGAGACTTTGCTTGGGGGTTCTATGATGACAACATGACCTTCAATCACTTATTTCCTCCCTTCCGCAGAATTTCGACCCAAACAACTTAGTCAATCAACTTTCAGTTCAAATTTGTCAAACTGGCATTTACCCTGCGGTAATGTAACATGCATCACTATATATTTCCAATAGGTAAATCATCATCTATAATCATCTATAAATGGGTCATTTTCCATGGCAAAGTGTTACATGACGGATAGAAACAAGGACCTCACCAGCCAATCCTGCCAGGAAGCAAGGGCGCGACCTGTGACAAAGGCCGTTGATGCCGGCACTGGGTTTCGGAAAGGCTATCTGTGGCTGTGTTGCTTATAGCATCTTCTTGGGGAAAGACATACTCACTAAGGCAAGCTGCTACAATTCAATAGATATGATAATCTACTGGTTGAAAAAGCCAACTTTGGAGAGAGCCAGTGGATGTTCCTTTCCAAAACAGACTTGCCTCTCTGTAGTCAGTTTCAAGATGGGTCCGAGTGGAACCATAGCTTTCGCGTACCAAAATTGACCAGGTGCGCTTAATCCGAAGGGGTTTGCCGCGTTCGCCCACAAAATTTGGGAGTTGGACGTGTACGCCAGTATATAGTTGATGCTACCCACAATGGGCTTCAGGTGGGTTACATCCATACTTGGCCAAATATTTGATCCTTTTGCAATCCAAAACGGCCGTCTTTAGGCATTTGCTTTTCGTTCCAAAACCTGAATCCGATTCGGCAGGTGCTGACCTTGTTGCAGGGCATGAAGGAGCAGTTGGAGAGCGAGGTGGGCCGTCAATTGTTTGGGGGATATAAGTAGCAATTGTACGTAGCAATCGTCTGGGGGATATACGTAGCATACGATCATTTCATTATGATGTTACATTGCCATTTCTTTCTTGCAATTCCGAAACTCGGAACCTGCTCTTCCGCAAAAACCGTAGTCCTTCAGGCCAATGAGGAAGAGGAATTGATGGAGAAGTACAAGTGCTGGTGCAAGGCGCATCCAGGGAAGTGGATCCACCAATATTGAGATTTTATGGACCACAGCAGGCTATTCATACTCTGTTCAAGCATCTACAAGCATTCATGGATCCAGCAGTTGGATGGTTAAAGATGGCTAAAGAGAACTAAAGATGGTTGAAGATGGTCAAAGCCTTACAACAACCAGCCATTTCTTGCATGATTCTGGTGCTGAGTCTGCTGCACAAGCTATCAGGAGAATGGAGATGAGAAAGCCACTTCTGCGAAAGCCTCAAGGGCTATGCCAGCGACACCAAATGAGAAGAAAAGTATATATATATAGAGGGATCAGCTTGGTGAAATTTCCGTGACGTGAAATTCGTGTTCCTTTTTGGGTTATTTTCATGCCACAAAAACAACATCGACATCCGCAGATCCAAGATGATCCAAGGTGGAAGCAGCCGAAGCCAAGATCAAGGCATCTGGGGCCACATGTCACCTTTTGGTATTACCTCACTGGCAAAAAGGTCACTGGAATCACGAACTTTTCGGTCGGAGAAGGGGAAGATTGGTGGCCGAACTCTTCAGGTTAATTGGTTTCACCAATTTCTCCAGAGGTATGGCAATGGGAGAGCCCTTTTTGGGAAGATCATGTGCGATCGCCACAGGAATTTTTTATTGGCCAATGGTTCCCGAAAAAGCCAGGGCTGAAGTGATAGCCAATCCAACCAAAAACACATATCGAAGCCATGTCAATGTTTGCTGTTTGAGTCGCAACTTTGTTGCTTTAAATATTCCCAGTCCTTCGTTAGTTTCCTGATTTTTCAGGTGGCGAAGTCGCACTTTCTCATGCTCGAATCCCTACTTCTCAGTGGTGACAGTTAGATTCCCATCTCTAGTTGATTTTTTTTGGTAGCAAATTCTCCGCTGTCATTGTCAAATTCATTTTTTTCCAGTTGGCTTTCTCGCATCTCCCAGAAGATATTGTTAGTTGCTGGTTGAATCCCAATTTTGTTGGTTAAATACTGTTAAATCCCAAATTTTCATGGCAAAAAGCGCAAATGCAGATAACCCCACCATTTTTAATGGTTCAATTGATTCAATCCCCATGTCTTTGGATAAAAACAATTAACAGTAATCACAGCATTCTTTTTGACTCGAGGAGATGGAGGCCAAAGTCTCGCAGCTGAGTGCCGACAGCGCACGTCTGGCGGTGGAGTCGGGATGCCCGGGTTCTGGTGGAGAAACGAGTTGTGGATTTTTGTCCGGAAAGGCTGGGAAACTGAGATTGGCGTTGAATTGGTTGAACTTCTCGTGGAAGATCATGTTTTTTTGGGGGTGATGGGGGTTCAGGAATAAACACATGGTGGCAGAAGTGACGGCCACAAATTTGCTGAGATGTTGGTGGATATTTCCTTGCGCAGAATGCAAGGTATAAAAACCTCGGCAAGGACGTGGAGAAGAACGAGGCAGATTTTGTTGTTTTGTGGCATGACTCCTGTTTTTTGAGATATCAAGATTTGATCCTTACCTATATTTGCTGGTCATATGTATATATATATATAAATAAATATAATATACATATTATATAAGTAGTACTGCACAAGGCGGTGGCGGAAGTTTCAAAGATAGGAAACCTATAGGAGAGGTGAGTTGTTGTGACTCATGGATGGCAGAGCGGACTGTTGCTGCACCTGTCCATAAGTCGGAAGTTTGACTTCTAAACTTCCGTCCGTTTCAAATATCCGATTATATCATCCTTCGTTTGGGGGTACCCAGGTGACCGATCAAAACAAACACGATCCATTTCTGAAGGCTCCAATGGAAGCAAATCCATCTAGGTGCCAGCCATCAAATGCTTCGATTTCAAATCGGTGTCTGAAAACTGGTTGGCTGTCTCCAACGAGTCTCATTTGTTTTGTATGCTGATATTCTGACTACAATACATACAAAAAACATATATATATATATATATAAATATACATCATTTGTAGGGGGATGATTTCCAGCTATTTTGCTGTTCACCAGGGGTACTGAGTTTTGACCCATCCCCATGTACATGTATGTATGCAATGTAATATACGTAATGTAATGTAATGTAGTGTAGTGTAATGTAATGAATGTATGTATAATCACACACATACAAACAAACAGTACGCATACTGTATACTGTATACACTGTATGTGTGTGTACATATATATATATATATGTAGAATACATACATTCGAAACATTTTGAAGCCGTGTTTGATCCACTGGATGATCATGATGATCCAAGCTTGCCTTCCCTGTCTCTCGTAGGCGTCCATGGATGAAGTCATCGCTCTCCGGAAAAAGCAGCTGGTGCCTTGGGAAATCACTTTGGACTTTGGGCCGGACTTGGAAGATAAATCCTCAGGAGAAATAACCAGGGATTATCTGATGGGCGTCTCACACTTGTTACAGCGACAATAAATCACAAGGATTGGATGTGCTCTTCAAGGACAGCGACTTCCCGAAGATTCGGGGGTTAGCCGTGTTTTGCAATATGTGTAAGCTCTATCCATTCGAAAAATCGCCGTGATAGTCTTGACGTGCGATATGTGGGTCAACCCTCTTGATCTTTGCCCGATCTTTGCCAGGGTTTTGGCCCACTGTAACTCTCTTCGTGGGCAGGCAAAGTTCCGAGAAGACGAGAGCGATCTTCTGAAGAACCTGCAAAGCGTTTGGCACCTGGAAGCTTCGAGTAAAATCAGTTGGATTTCCATTATTTGTTTTTTTCTGACGACAAAAGGCTGATGCATTATGATGCATTGAAGCAGACGCGAATACAGTGCGATGGCAATATGACAATACGACTCCACGTCTTTTCTAGGACACCATTGCTATAGGGATTTCCTAAAATAGGGGTACCCCCAAATCATCCAAAGTTAGACCATTTTAGTATGGTTTTGGGGAACCCCTATGCCTATTTTAAGAATCCCCATATTAGAAATTGTTGTTTGATCATCATTGCATTCCAGTTAGTTCGGTGTTGGTCCAGCCGGAGAACTTAAAGAATGATAGCAAGCTCGAACCTCACCCCAAAGGTCGCAGAATCGGTTGAAGGAGAATGTGGAGGACCCATACGATGGGTTAAACACAATATGGTTTCCGGTAGATGTTCCATTAAATCAATCCATTGATTTCCAAATGGTTCAAAAGCTTGGTCTTTTTTGACTCAGGTGAAGTCTGCCAACGATGTGATTGTGACTTGGATTCCCGATGTTGGTTACCAGGTGCCTGCAAATAACAGGACGTAGCGTTGCTTTACAAGATTAGTTGCGTCAAGAAGCATCTGAAAAAAGGGTGAACGCTTGCACAGATGATACCCTTTTAAGAATGGGACCACTCAGATAGTCAATGATTACAGTATAACAAATTATAACATATTATAACCAGGACTGGGTTCTAGTAAGAAAAACAAAGGGATCTGGATGGTGCTGCGTTGTTTTATGATCTTTGGCTTGATCCGAGGTCCCATAGGCTGCACGGCCCAGGAAGGGGGGACTTCCTTCGTGCAGCTCTCGCAACAGACGGCCGCTGGGGATCACCACGAGGGTTAGGCTCTGGTATGGAAAAATGGCAACTCATGATTTTTAATAGGTAAATCATGGTAAATCATGGTAAATCATGGTAAATCATCATTTTTAATAGGTAAAGCAAATGCGGTAAATCATCTAACATACATCATCTATAAATCATCGATGGGCCATTTTCCAGAGCTATGTTATATCATCAGAGGGTAAGATGAATGCAATACTAAATCGGTTGATATTGGCATGATCATAGACAGATTTACCGATCTAAAATGAGTATAACATGGGGATTTATTGATATGGCCAATGATTTGGTTGATGGTTTCAAAATGTAATTGTATATAATTATATATATCTGTGCATATATATATATACCTACTGAGCAACATATATATATATAATATTTCGAAACATGTTTGGGATGATGATCCCCGATGACATATGTTTTGCAGGGTTGAAACCACCAATCCTCTTAGGATGGTACTGAATATTGAGAGCGGGATCAATATTTCTGACCACCTGGCTAGGCAGGAAAGGGATTAGCAGATAGCAGTGTCTGGCACATGAAAGCTTGGCATTTCGTCTTGCTGCAAGCTTTTTTTTGAAAACTTCTGGGTAGGGGTCAAAACCTTGGGCGCCAGAAGACCCGAGTTTTGGGCAGTTTTCACTCACCATCCTAATCTATTCAAGTATAGGGATATCTCCAAACACAGAAAAGTCAAGTATGTAAAGTCATAGTTGTAATTTATTTCTCCATTTTGTTGGGCAAATATATATATATATATATAAATACCCCCCAATGACCCCAATGACTTGGCCCATCCTGCCCCTTGCTACGCTCCAAGGCCATCTCCCAGACTCTGCAAAAGATCTTGGCCAGGCCTTGGCCTGGTTGCCCGTCAGTTGATAGGTCCGATAGGTCCGACTAAGTCACTAAGTCTGACTCTGTGGATTTGTGGATTTGGGATTTACTTGTGGATTTACTAAGTTTACTAATCTGACTCTGACCCATTTCATAAATCCAGAAATCCAGAAATCGGGTGATCCACAGGCATGCTGGTGATTTGAGCTCTGAGAATGGTCGACAAGTTGCGATGTTGCTGCAAGATCCAAGCACAGGCAGAGCTGGATGGGAAGATGTGGAGTGGTGGAAAATCAGATGGAAACCCACACGACTTTCTGCCTGACCTGTCCGCCCGATTGATGAACACTTGCTTTTGTATGAGCTCAGCACTTATAAAATTGTATCAACTTGCTATATCCAAGAAACATCTGTCTTGGTTCAGTGTGCCTTTTAACAGCACATCAGCTTGCTCCTGGGATCCAATGTGGAGATCCCAACCGATGGCCCCCATGGCTCCAGCATCTGGTTATGTAACAGTTTGCCATGGGATAGATGGCCCATAGAAATAGATGGTTTACCGAACTTAAAAATGGTGGATCTTTCCATGGCGAACTGTTAAATAACCAGATAGTAAATAATGATATTATATATATATATTATACACAAGATCATTGCTAAGGGTTAAGCACCCAGTGGCCACTTGTGGCAAAAAAGCTATGACAATGTGCAACCCCAACCGAACGCCAGGAAATGTGGAAGGTGTTCTGCAAGGTGCGGGATGGATTTGGGATACCACCAAACTGCCGCCAGGTAGCTTTCAATCATATATACAATGGCCAATCTGGTTGGTTGTTTCATATAATAGATGTTGTCCATACAAGTCTCTGTCTCTCTCTCTCTCTATATATTTAAAATTACATATAACATATATACATATTTATATGTCATCCAGCAAGGGGTGATGATCCAAATTGATTTATACTTTTCAGAGGGGCTTAAAGCCACCAACAAGCTTTGGATCCTTGGATTGTTTTTGATTTTCGCAGAACCCCCCTGACATTGGCGCCATTTTGACATGTGCTGAGAATGTGGTGCTAGGTTTGAAAGAAGACTTCCAGCGGAGCTTGCATGAGCTGCAGGCTGGGGGATGAATCTCCACCAATTCTTGTTTAACTCAGACGGAAAGCATCCACCTGGAGTTTTTTGGTAGACATTTTTGCAAAAAGCTTGCACTTTTTTGGGCCTCCCAAGTTGAAACATCCATCCTAAACCTTTGGGTTTTTCCGGAGTTGTAACATCACCAATCAGCGACAGAGATTCTGTGGGTCATTTTTGGGAGTTCGGCACTTCCAGCCGATGAGACCGATGAGAACATCAACAAAGCGGAATACGAAAAGTTGCTCGCCGCCTGGGTGGCCCAGCGGTGGCCCCACGATGGCCCAATTTTGTCAATGCAGGCCCTGCAACCCTTCACTTTCAGGATCTTTGAGGATTGAGGTGGCCTCAAACCATCCTTGAAAATCATTGTACCCAGCTGAAACCCGACCTTTCCACTGTAGCCATTGGCCATTGTAAGGCCAAGCGAGAGGAGATTGATGCCGCGAAGGTCCAGGTCCATCGAATGGGGATCAGCGTTATTTAAAAATCATTTTGGAAGTAGTCCCTCTATATCATCCGTATATCATCCACATCCGTTCCATTTTTGCCACCTGGATTTTGGTGGTCTCAGCACATGCCTCCGCCTCGATTTGTGTGCACCGGACGTGCCCAAAAGGTGGTTGGTGGTATAGCCACCTGTAATGTACGTATGGTGAAACATGTCACATGAAAGTTGCATGTCTGAAGTATATGTCAGAATACATGGCAGAAATCGGCCAGATTAAAACTCAGATTTTATGTCAGAGATGATGTCTATATGTCAAGATGTATGTCAGAATATATGTTAGAGTATATCAAAGGATAAATGTTAGAGTTTATTTGTCCGGATAGATGTCCCAAGATACTCGTATGTCAGAATTTGTGTCACAAAAAGTGTCAAACCGTTTTTGCTACGGTGGGCATCACACGCAGAGGACTAATTTTGAAATGAATTTCAGTTTTGATTCGTCCTGAAATTCCATTGGATTTGGGAAGGCTAGTGCTGTATGAGGCAGTGTGAGGTGATGATTGCTGGTCTTTTCCCCCATCAGCAATCACGAACAGTACGTGAAAACATTGTCTATGAGGCGGACTTGCGCAACCCTGTATCATCACAAATAGGGAATTGTCCAGACATGGGGTGCAGCCCAAATTTGTCATGTTTTTACGGCACAAATGAGAATAATAATCCATTGCAATTGAGGTACCCCATCTTCAGACAAAGACATACAGCATTTCTTGCAGAAATGTAGGACTTGCACATTGCTGACTCGCCAGATTGAAGCGAAGAAAGAACAAAAAACCGCTGCAGATGCGGAACGCATGCAGCTGAAGCAGGTGCACTAGCCCCAGCTATAGTAGAAACCATCAGAATTTCCTTCTCCGAATGCATTTTTCAGATGGGCGGCAAAGCAACGCACTTCAAAGACTAATTACACATGAATCTGATGTCCTTTTGTTTGGTCGCAGTACTCCAGTTGGGTTTGCCATCCAAAGTGTATGATTGACGTCAGCTGTGTGCAATTGATGACTTTGTGTTTCGAACACGGTTGAACGACGTAACGATGTTGAACCGTTGAACGGATTTCCAGTCGTCCTTTTCTTGTCAGAACATCAAAGATTCTCGCGCTTCCATGGGTGAAGACATTGCGCCGGGATCTTGGGACAGCAATCGCTCAGCTTTCGGCTCCGTCGATGCGAACGGCCTCGAGGTTTGCCAAGGAAGTGAAAGAGAAGTGCGGTGTCAAGGCCAAGGCCCGGGCGCAGATGCTGATAGCATGGCCAAGAAAAGGGTTATTCGCATATCTGAAAACCGATGTGAATAGATGGTAAACAGATTCAAATAGGATATACTGTACTATCTATATAATACAACATATGGCTGTATATATATATATATATTATATCATATTATTACTCATCAGCATATTTAGCAGCATATTTTTCAGCATCAATCACCACAATATGGCCCTCGCAGTGCACCATTGGGCATGGAAGGGATCGAGCCCGAGACCGGTGCTTCGGTCTCAGGAGTGGGAGAAGCGTCAGAAGACCCGCGCCGATGAGACCGAGTCGGTGACCAAGGTGGAGCCCGAGAAACATCGGATATCCTCGGCGATGGAAGAAAAATCCTCAGCATGTCACGTGAAGGATGAACTGTTCCTTGAACAGCACTGCTATGAGATCAAATGCGCCATCCCCCTGAACAATCAATATGATACACTGTCAATTTAACTCCAACTCTGTTTCTATTGGATCAAATGCATCACCCGCCATGTGAAAGAATACATTGTTTGGGGTAAATCCGCCATTTTTGGAGATGGCTGTTTTGATTGGAGCGAAGGGTTCCCTTAAATGAACGCATTTCAAGCCAGACGAAGAGTAGATATGAAAAGATACCCACCTGAAATCTAAGCCATTTCAAGCCACTTTTGGGGTTCACCCTCTCGTAGGCCATTCAGGTGCTCAGCGACGACAGCGCGCATGAGGCCCAAATTTGACCAACTTCACGGGATGATAATTTTAGACCAGAATTTTATCATATGTTAATATATTTAAAACATATATTTCATATATTTAATATATTTTAATATAAAATAAAACAGATATTTCATATATTTCATTTACCTCTTGCCATGGCCTGGAAACGAAACGGAAGGGGTTGTTTGATGTTTGGGGCATCCCATCCAACCGTTTTTGGTGACCATCCATCTCTTTGCGCAGGTCTTTGGAAAGACATTCTCCTTCCTTCAGGCGGCTTCGGCTATCAGTGGGAATGGGTTTGCCTCAGAATTCCGCGATTTGGCGATGAAAAATGGCGATGCCAGGGTTTCCGCCACCTCGCTCCATGTGACCCCGCTCAGATGTCCAGCAGTTCCACAGCACGCCGCGAGAAAGCGGCACATGTGCTGTCCAAGGCCCGGTGGAAAGTGCATTGGACAAAGAAAATGGAGGAACTTCAACAAGAGGGGATGAACTTCTGCACCAAGCAAAACATAGCAAAACATCTAGACTTAGAACATCTTAAAACATTTTTTTATAGTTATCGACTTATAGGATGTAATGTACTTTTGTCTGAAAAAGGCGCTTGAAAAATGGTGATACTAGCCAGCAAGAATGGGGGTAATTTACCAACCAAAAAACAATGGATGATCATGTGGCAGTAGCTTCCGACATCTTCCCACCAGGATATGGGCAAATATGGGTATGCCAATGAAAAATTGGGCACCAATGTCCTGTACCCAGTTTTTTTTTCCCCAGCTGGTCAACTAGTGCCAAACTGAATCATGAATTTAGTGGGTCAGTCATCTTAGAACTGTGTGCACATGTAGTGGTTGGGCTGCTAGGCTTCGGGATCCCAGCTGGTGATCCTCACCGATCCTCATCGCAGGCAGGTGTCAAGGACGCGCGCTTGATGACCCTGGCCATGGAAGCGAAGCTGGATGGCTTCACCATCGTCAAGGAGCAGAAATCATCCAACGGGGCATGGGAGCAATCATTGGCATACTTAGCATAAGGGTGTGTAAAAGAAATTATATGCGCATGATCTTTGAACATGTTATGTGCATGTATATAGGTGTAAATATATATATATATATACATTTACGTATATATATATATATACTGTGTGTATATATATATATATGGCGCAGCGTTGGCAGGTCCCCCCACCCTCCCGAGAAGGTGATGGTCCCTGTATGTGACCTGTGGCAGAGGTGACTTTCTTCCCCCTCCCCCCGTGGTTGTGGCAAGTGCTGGGCCCTCCCCCTCTGGTTGCAGGCATGACACTGGGACCCCTTGTGCTGTGTGCTGGCTTCTCAGTGTTATTCATCTATGATATGTATCACAGTGATGACTTATATAGGTCCCCCTACCGCCCCTGTGGTTGTGGTATTATACGGTAATACCATTGTGCCGTGTTGTCGTGTTGTTGCTCATACGTTGTGTGCGACAAGTTGTAGACTAGTAGACTGCTGTTTTGCAGTCTTTGGCTAAGTGACGTGGTTGGCTACATCTGTAGCATACTGCCATTGGGTTCTTTCCTTTTCCTTGGTTGTTGGCTCCTTTGTTCTTTCCTTGTCCTTTGTCTGTTCCTTTCACTGGTTGCCACACTTGTTTTCCTTTTCCTTGTCCTTTTGCCTTGTCGTAGCCGTTGTTGTAGCCGTATCCTTTTCCTTTTCCTTTTCCTTTGTGCCCTTTTCCTTGTTGCTTTCCTTTGTAATTGTTCTTTGTTTCCTTTGCCTGTTGCTGAAATTTCCGTTGGAGCCTGTCCTCCACTGTAGTTTGTGCTAACTACTGAGGACGCCTGTTGTTGAAGCCTTGCAAAGGCTGCTGTTGTCCTGTAGTGCTCTGTGATGATCTCTCTGATCATGGCGTATGTTGGTGCTTGTCTTGCATTCTGTAGATGCTGTTGCAAAGGGCCTGTGGTCTCATTCATGAGAACTGCTATCCTGACCTGGTCTGGAAGTTGTGTGTTGTTGTCTCGCTCATGGCGCTCGACCTCGAATTCCCATGTTGGGAAAGACTCCTCAAAGTTGTTGTGGTTGAAAGTTGGCTTGAGCAACTTTGTGAGATAACCCATGCTTCTTGTTCCAAGAGGGAGGGAGAAGTGTTGGCAAAGTTGCCTGTATACTTCACGACACATTGCTGCTTGGTGTTGTCGGCACACCGTTGCTGCTGCAGCTGATGTTGTGCTGATTAGGATGTGCTTGAGGTTGTTGGCTAGCTGTATCCAGCGTTCTGCTTCCTCAAGTGTTCCTGCTGCGGCTGTTAGTTCTGCATCTGTGAGTACTGTTGTTGCCCTTTCTGCCCTTGCTAGCAGGTCAGGGTAGATGTTGTCCTGTATGCCCATGTAGGCAGTGAATTCGTACTTCCACTCCTCAAACGTTGCATAGTTTCCACCGCATGTTGGTGGCTTCAGCTTCAGTCTGTGTGTTGAGGCAAGTGCTTCTGATGCTTCTTCGTTTGCTGCCATTGGTGTTCCGATGTTGTGGCCCGTTGCCATCTGTCCTTGTTGAGGGTCCCCCACTATTGAGTTGGGATCAGGCCCTTCTCCTTTCTCCCTGCGCACTGTTTGTTGTAAAGCATGTTTCCTCTCCTGTTGCTGTAGTTGTGTGTTGTTTGTTGAAGGTCCCCCAGTGCTCTGGGATCGAGCCCTCTTCTGTTGGGCTGCCACCCAAGTGCTCCTTGTTGTTGCCTGTTGTTGTGTTGGAGCTCACCTGGATGCTTCCAGGATCACTGCTCTGCTGCCATGAAAAGTTTCACGGCACTGTTGACACTGCTGTTGCTGTGCGCACCTTTTCCCGTACTGTTGGCTAGGCCCAAGGTAGACTCAATGTAGGCTCAAGGCCTAATGCTGGGCCACATGTTGGCACAAGATAAACAACTGCACAGCGGTCATGTTGAGATAAGTTGTTCTTAACATATATATATATATATATACATGCCTACACATACCATACACTTACACATGTGATAATCATCAGACTTGGTTATAAACATAATTTGTAGCATAGTACCCAGGTATGAATCCTGGCACATATTCACCACTGTTCCTAGGAGAAGATTGACGCCATGGTGGGAGCCCTCAAGGAGGAACAAGCTGCCGAGGCTAGTACTTTGAACATGATTTTGCCCCCCCAACTTGTGGCCATTTTCACGGGAAAACGCTGTTTAAACGTCAAACTTGGGGGTAAAACCTATTTTCAGTCACAACTATATGTGTTGAGAGGGATTTTATTGCTATGGAAGATGGGAATTGCAAATATGAAAATATGTTGCAAGAATTGCCGGAACAACAAATCCAGCAGTTGATGGTTCAAGTAGATAAACCATTATCGGTATAGGTACCTCCATTTTTTTGAGACGTGGCATTCAGAGTCCAAGGTCATGTCTCGTGTTCATTGTTTAAAGTCGATAGTTTGATGTGAAAATCAAAGACCCACAGCATGTTAGCAAACGATGGGTTGTCGAAATGTCAAAATATAACAACGCATTACTGCAGCTGAATCTGTCACCACCAGAGCGCATCAAGAGGTGAAACAGAAAGACTACTGCATCGCAGAGTTTCAGAAGAACAAGCGCGGAGCCTCAGATGCCCTCGTCTCCAACAGCGACCTGGTAGTCCCACGGTTCCATGGAAGTGCAGACTACACCCTTCTGCGGACAGTGGGCGTGGGTTTGCCTATGGTTTGCCCACAAGGTACACTCCCAAAATAACAGTTTTGATAGGGAAACCAATGTTTGGCCAATCTTGGACTCCCAGATCGAAGGTTGGCCACAACCAAGAAGCAGCGCCTGGCGACCTTTTTGGGCGCGAAGAATGAGGTCTGTTGGATGTTCGAAGATCATCAATTCCAGATTCACCAACTTCCCAAACATCAAGCATACATGGTAACTTTGGGTAAATTCATTCATATAGTTCCATGGATAATTTTCCCCCTGAAAACCACTTTTACATATGATTTCCATAGGATTTTCTCCAGATTTACATCGTTTTTTCCTACAGGATGGTGTTTCTTGGCTCCAGGAGGTGAAGATGAAGATGCAGACGGCCTCAGACGACCTGGCTGAGTTGTTGGGCACTCGGGGGCAGCTGCGGCCGGTGGCCGAAGGCTGGAGGCAGATTGAATTATGGGATTTGATGAGATTTGATGAGATGGGATGAGATGGGGTGAGATGAGGTGAGATGGTGAAATTGAGCATTTCAGCCATATCCATATCCATCCATATTTCATCCATATATATCATATATCCATAGTCTTTTTGCAGCCCTGCGGCATTTCACAAAGTGGATGGCTAAGGGAGACCGATATCCAGGACCACATTTTTGGGAATGGTGGGCTGGTGAGATGATGGAGGATGACTTCAGGTGCATTTTTGATCCCTTGGGTCGTTACAGACCATATATATATATATATGTATGTATGTATATATATATATATATTCATATCATATAATTAGTCAGTGCTGAGATAAGATGAAATAACTGGTTTCTGGAGATGCTGGGGAGAAGCTCAATGATCCGCAGCATTTCGTTGTGTCCATTCATGTATCGGGTACCTTCAAGACCAATAGATAGCATATTTAGGGGATGAACATCCACAGCTACCAGGGTGAAGTGACCATACCCGGAAATTCAACTTCATTCGCCAGGAAGATTCAAGATCACCAAATGCAAGAGTGCTGTGCCGTGTGATGTGATGTAATGTGATGTTTAATATGCATATATATATACACATAACATACACATAATATATATATATAGTATTCAAATATATGATATACTATATACGTAACATATTATATCTCAATGAGTCATCTCCATAGGATCAACGGGGTGATCGATGCCGTGAGGAGCTGCAGAAGCAACAGGCTTTGGCATCTCAGAACCGCGAGAAGGACACCGCTGTTGCTGTTGCCGCTGTTGCCAATGCTGCTGCTCCTGCTGCTGGTGCTGCTCCTGCTGCTGGTGCTGATGCTGGTGCTGGTGTTGGTCTTGCTGTTGCTGTTTGATAAAATGGCAGTTCAACTGATCGACAGTAGTTGTCTGCACCAAATGTCATTGCATAGTATGCTTGAGCGTTCGATGCACGCCCGCCCATGTCTCAACAGAAAAGCTTTGAATGGTGCAAAGGCCTCCATGAAACAAATCCATCACATGGACCTGCAGAGCTAGTGCGATCTAGACTTTCAGCACGTGTTATTTCCCAGTTGGATGGTAGGAAAGGAGCCCATCGACTGTGTAAGAACCTTTCCTTTGATATCCTTGAAAAAACAATGTGGAGCAAAGCAGAGTACCAACGAGTTCAAAATGGTCAAGCGTAATGGTCAAGTGTCACAAAGCAGGCCAGCAGGCAATTATCATTCATATTTGCACACTTTGGCTGAAGAATCAGCCATGCCCGGAGTGCTGCTTGTTGGCAGATGGTGTGGCTGTGAGGGTTCCAGTTGTCAATCTAGTTGAGCTTAATTCATGATGTTGACTCGTTCTTGTTTCACACAAAGGCCACAGTGGCCACGCAAGTTTGAGATGCATTTCTTACTATAAATGTTCTCAGATTTACCCAAGAAAGTTCTGCATGTCACGGCATGAGCTGACATGGCATACACGTCCTCTGATCCAACCCTTCCGCTTGTGGTGGGAATCTTTCAGTTTGCTTTCGGGCAGACCCTTCAAGAAGTCACTGGTCTGGTGGAGCAAACTCTCCACAGCTGTTTAAGAATTCAGTGTCAACTCGTAAGACCCAACTCCATGGGTTGAAGCAACATATCCAGTTTCGGTGCTCCTGCGGAAGTGCAGTTCCATACGTAGCAGCTTGGAGCCAAGGATCAAGATCCAGTATTGCGTCAGGGCCCCCAGCTGTGAAGAACTTGTCAATGTGGGGGTTGTCTCAAAAAAGGGAGATGAACTGGTATACATACATATATATATATACATATATATATATATATATGGCAATGTCTTGACAATTTTGGTCGAGTTTCAGGTGATTTGGTGGATGCGAAGATGAGACTCATGAGAGAATCGTTTCACTCTTCAGATCCCGATGAGGCTGATTCTTGATACATCTGGAACCCAACCGGGCCACTGATAATCCCAATCAGTGAAAGAAGTGAAGAACGACTGCCAACTCTGCCGAAAAGCTTGTGAAGAAGAGAAGCCAGCATAGTGGATTCCAGGAACCTTCAAGAGACTTGAAGGACAAAGTCGATATTTGACACCTTTTTAACAGTCTTCGCTTTAGTATCTTTAGTATGGCTGCACGAAACTGCCCTGTTTCATTATTTTTACCCCAGATTTGTTATCAGTCACGGCACCATTTCCTGTTTGTAGACAAAGCTGAGGACTTTGAGGCAAGAGGTCTCGCTATACTGTAGTTTGGCTTGGAGAAAGAAACCATGTTTGCATATTTTTTGCCAATACCAACTGTTACCCAACTGTTACCCAAATGGTGGTTTTAATCAACGATGTCTTGCTCAATCCGCTGCATCAGATAATAGCCCAACTTGACCATTTCTTTTTGTTTGGCAGCAAAGAGTAGTTCATCCTTCATCGACAGCAAAAAAACATCATAGAAAATCATTCAAAATCGATGACTTGGTTTAAGGACAAGTCTAAGGGAAACGCCTAGATTTCTGGACACATCTTATCCAATCGAGGGATGAACATCGTCAAGTCGACCAGGTTAAGTGCAAGTGGCAGCTCAGAGCGGCCTGGTTGGCACAGGAGCTGGGACCGGCTGGGACCATGGATGGTTTACAACAGAATCCAACAGATAACAGACATATGTTACACATATTGCATATATGACATACTGATCATACTGCAAACAAAAGGAGGCATTACACAAACTGATTCTGTTGAACACAAAATAGCCAACTTTTTTTGGGGGTCTAAGGATTTTGAACGATACTTGCAATGAAGCGGAGAAGTAGGTGCGGTTGAACACGCATTGTGCGGGGAACAAACGGCAAATGACATGTTGGAAGATTTTCGGTGTTCACCTCCTCTCTGTACCATTTTGTATCCATTTCTGGGGTGTTTAGATTGACCCACATTTAACTAGTTCCGTGATTTCACATTCACTGAAGATCTACTGGAGGAACTGCTATCGACCTTTGAACAAGACGATATCCTCACTGAGGCGCCTTCAGCTGGGTTTGATTCGATATCTAAAAAAAATGATGAAATAATCATGGGTGTTGCCGTGGACGATGATGAGGATGATGATGATGATGATGATGATGATGACGATGATGACGATGATGTTGATGATGATGATGTTGATGATGATAATGATGATGATGATGACGATGATGTTGATGATGATGTTGATGATGATGATGATGATGTTGTTGATGATGATGATGATGAACACTGCTGTCATCATGATCCGTAATGGTCTGTATCACTACTCCATAATGCTTAGACCATTACTCTTTATTACCATGACGGTGCGCAGACCTCACAATCCTTGTGCAGAATGCCCATCTGTACAGGTGTGCCTGGTGCCAAGCCTGAAAGTCTCCGGTGTGTTTGAGGTCACTTGCGACGATAAAACCGCTACTCGGATGCAATGGTGTGCTGGAGCAACCAATTTTCGTTACCAAAAAGATCGTTGTCAAAATGGCTTATTTTCAATTTAGGAAATATATCATATCAATTTGTAGACTGTTTGAAGGTTTCCGGTTCGAAGGAACTGGAACCATGCAGGAATTGTAAGCGGCACTTCACAATCTCCTGGTTGATTCCCCGCTATCCCCAATATCCATAGCAGGATATAGTGGGTTTTGGTGCAAAATCACCCATGATAACTGATATCCCTACTATATCCCCATGAAATGATTGGGTTTTAGCTCAGGTGGTTCGACATCCACGTCATCCACGTCATCTGAGGTTTGGTCGCGGAAGGCGGAGGGCCGCTTCCCCGAAGCCAAGGAATTGAAGCAACGCGTTCGCGACGTGCTGGTGCAGCGGCTGCCAAGGGGAGGGGAAGTCTTTGGGTCCTGCCTGGGGAGTTACCCCCCAGAAATGTCCCATGTTGATGGGGAAAACGATGATCGACTGCTGAAACTTGGTGTACCTCACTTATGTTGGATTTTCTACCAGAAGTGGGTGGCTTGAGCCATCCAAGTTTGGGGCGCCTTCCCACAGCGTTGGAACTCATATCGCACGACTGTGAAAGGTGCCCAGCAAAGATTTGGGCCATTCGGACACTCCTGCACCTTGGCAAAGGGCAAGGGGGGAGTGATGACCAAAGTTCCAAGTTAGTTGATGTTGATGCGGGGTTGGAATCATTATATCGTTGGTTTATATTGGTTTAATGACTTTGATGGAGATGATTGCGATCCATGGGTTGGGTTGGAAAAAGAATAACGCTGATTGTGATCCAACTGGCAAAATCTGTTTGCTGGCGAGGTTTTGGCCTGCGCTTGCGTTGACCGGACTTTTCAAGCGGGGAAGTCACGTCCGTAACAGGTTTCAAATAATGTGGGCATGGGCCATGGGCCAAAATTATTGTCTGAAACAACAAATGTACGGCTCAACACAAAAAATGATCATTTTGTGGGATCATTTGTGCACAATTTGTGACCACCACATGACCTCCACCCAAACACATCAGATTTGGAAACCACCTGAGGCAGCCAAGAAGGCGAAGACGGAGGGAAAGTGATCTGTTGGGGAGCTCAGAATGCCGCATGCTGGTGGCCTTTGGTGGTTGGCGAGGATGGAAAAAACAATCTGATGACATTTGATGACAGTTGACAACCTCTGATGCATGTTGTTGGTTGTCTGTTTATCTTTTAGGGGCGATACCATTCATACAAGCATATTTTGAACCGAAATGAGTTTATCCACTTAAATATGGTGTGAATATTTAGTTTTACAGGTTGCACCAGCTTCTGCCATCATTCCATGCGCCTGATGCGCCAGGTTCTGAGCGGCCACAGAGGTTTCGTCTGACGGATGAGCTGCGGATGGCAAAAAGAAACGCCGATCGAAGTGCCATCGCCGGCACAGGCCACATTTCGCCTTGGGTTTTGCCTCCGAAACCTTGACTTGTTGTTTCTGTTGATTGAAACATATTATAATACGTATTACATAAAAATAATAAGTCAACATGAATCAGTATAATAACTAATAACAATCTAAACATTAATCAGTATAATAACAATCTAAATGAGTATTGTTTCAATCAGTGATTGTGCCCTTTAATGCTGGTGTCACCCCATTGGTACTCCACGGGTCCCTCCATGGATCCCAGGAGAACACGGAGTTTCAGAAGGTGGTGGCTGAGCAGAGAGCGACGCAAGAGTTGTTGAAGAAGGCCAGGAGATTTGTGAAGTTGAACAACAATATTCTGAACCCGTCCATCTCTACATATATTATCATATATTCATAGATGATCATAGATGTATATTAATTATATGCAATCATATATGTATTATATGGGTTCAAAAAACCCACATGAACCTACCATTCAATGCCTGAGTAGCCTAAGGTGTTTGAGGTCATTTGTAGTAGTTCTTTCGCGTGCCATTCCGTGGCTACTCAATTGCTGAAGCCTACGCAAATGCTGCCGTTGCTCTGGCGTCAGGCTCTGAGTGTCCTGGGAGACTTCTACAACAAGCAGCAGGAGTCTTTCGTACAACAGGATGCCTCGCCCAAGGAGCCAGCAATTTCTTTTTGTTGCCAACAACTCCTACCCAGCTCCCCAACTTGAATGGTTTGATGCCAACAATAATGTGGTGGGTCCTTCGGCACAGTGCTTTGGTATCCATCTATTGAGCCACAGCAGAATGGGATTGTCTCAAGACCTGGGAACCACAAAAAATCACACGGTTATCATCCCTTTTCCACTTAAATCACTTAAGATTTGGCCAAACATTGGAGTATCCCGGCCGTATCCCCCATTTCCAGACATCCGGCAGGAGCCCAAGACTTTCGGGAGCTACCAGAAGAGCTCCAGCCACTTGGTTGACTGGGATCCTATGGGGTGTGCCAATGGATCCTCAAAGGTCTGGTCATTCTTGGTATTAAAATACACTCAAAATATGTGTAAATGATATTAGACAATAATAAACGTGTCTTTTTTTTCTGAGTCAAGAATTCTGACCCTTACTCGCCTGGATATAGATCAACAAGTCGGACACACCGATAAAACATCGATGATATTCGATGATTGAATTTCCCAGCATGAAGGAGGAACATCTTTGATATTGTGACCCCTAGCACGGGCCGACAAAGCCGGCAAGTTTTTAGCTGCGGCTGAATGAGGCGCCAGAAATCCAGTTTTTTGTTGGACGCAACGCGTACCCTCGGGTTGCAATGGTCTGAAAGTAGAGAGCTTTTTGGACTTGGTATTTCGTGTCCTGAAATGGGTGCTCAAAATTATTAGACTTCAAAGTTGTGGATGGTCCAAAAATAGTAATATCTAAAATTGTAAAATGAATATCTAGTTTTAGATTCTTATTGGACTTTCAAACTTGAAATAATTGTAATATCCAAAAAGCGACCAGCCATTTGTGGATATTGACTCCAAGCGAGGCAGCAACGGTGTGATGCTCATGCTGCAGAAACTCATCGCAGATGCCAAGGATCGGCCTGGGAAGGTAGGACAGGTGGGAAGTTGGATTGCCACTCTGCCACTCTTTGGAGCAATGGAGGATCATGCATGGTCGGGGGATGTGGATGTTCTGGAGGCTGTTGTGGTTGTTGTTGACTTCTGGCCACGTGCACAGCTGCAGGCCATGGAAACGGAGGCCACGGCTGCTGAGGCCGAATCTCAAGGAGACTACGAGGTGCGGTGTGGATGGAATGTGATGGCTGGTGAATATCGGAATATCGTAATGCGAATCACACAGTGTGTGTGTAATATAATGTCATATAATGTCAATATATGATTATGTGTGATTCATTGAATATCTGTATAGACTATAGACTATAGTCATATGTATTTTTCAATCTGCGTAAACTTTATCGATCTCACCATGGCGACACTGTGGCTTATGGGTAGTGAGAGGAACAACCTTGAGTGATTTTAATTCAGCTCAGTGAACGATTGTAACTGTCAGACCAATGGACAGGGATCTTCACCAAGAGAATGGTTTGATCATGCTTGATGGATAATGTCTGAGTCTGAGTCAACATTTCTGGAGCCGCAATTCCAACGTGCTTCGCAGGCCTTTGGCAAGGACACCACCAAGACCCTGGAGAAAAAGGCCAAGAGCATTGCTGACAAGGCCCATTTCGTGGGAACTCATTCTGTGGTTGTTCTTCAGAGCCACTGTTGCAATTAGGTTTGTCTTTGGGTGGTGCACAGCCTTCCATGATCTTTCCGTTCCGGTTCTGAAGATATGTGCTTTTGTAAAGGCGCAAGCCAAGCAGCTACAGTTGCATTTTAACAATCAAATAGCAATAAGACAACAATCATCCTAGTTTATACTGATTCTCATCAAAGTCAGTACCAAATACACCAGCTACACCAGCTACACCAACTACTATCCTGCTTGTTTTTTTTGGGGGGGTTCCCAGGGGTTCCCATTTTAGCTCCCGATGTCCCGGTTTTTCGGAGGAGGAGACCAAGGCTAAGGCTGCTGAGCAGTTGCTGGAGACGAAGAAGAGTCAGAAGGGTCGCCTCGGAGTCGGGTG